ACCCCTTTGTGCCCGTACATCGCGTCAAACTTCACAAAAAATTAATACAATTTTCTATGATTGTTTAGAGTGTAATTGTACATAGTTGCAAAATATATTAATTAAAAACAATTAGAGTACATAAAAGTAGAGATTTTAAGCTTCAAAATGAGCTAAAGCAGAAGCATTTTTGATCATTTTTAAAGAAGTTATGACACTTTGTATTTTGTCATTTTTTTATAAGTTTCTAGGTGTACTGATACTTTTGAGCGGTACTGTAACAATAATGCCTGAGCATAATCTGTCGTGTAAATCGAGGGATTTGGTAACTTTTTGACGTGCAGTCATGTCAATAGTTACAATTTATAAAATTAATAGCTAAATCTAAACAAGTTGATTTCATAATTAGAGTGATTTGATATTTTTATTTAACTTTTAAGGATACAGTCACAGTAATAGACATAATTTTTAAAAGTAATAGCTAAGTTTAAATTAGTTACTTTTGTAATTAGACAAATTTAATATTTTTATATAACTTTTGAGACTTCTGTCACGCCAATGAGCATAATTGCTAAAAGTAACAGCTAAGTTTGAACTTATTTGCTTTTATAATTAGAGTGATTTGATATATTTATATAACTTTTTAGTTGTTAAGTCATGCTGATAGACATTAGTGCTAAAAGTAATAGCTAGGCTTTCTCTCGGAATGAAGAGGCGAGTTTAGTGAGAGATTAGTTCCTATCAATAATCCAATGAACTCCATAGAGATTATTGATACCGACTAATTGCGGATGTGTTAAAATAAGTGATTCTAAGTGCTCGACTTATTCAGGAATAGGCATTACGATGAATCCCCATAAGTATTCTAGGGTAATGTAACACAGATGAAACAACAAACGTTTGCTTCAAAATCAGATCAGGTATTTTAACGATTTTTAGGTTTCGAAAATTACTGATAAATTCTGCATTTTATAGATACTTTCATTAATATATAAAGTGTCCTGTAAGCAAAATACGAGGAATAGGAGTTGCAAGTTAATACTTAAGCAAATATGAAATTCAACGCTATGCTAATCACTTATAAAGAATTTGAAATTAAAAACAAAACACATGTTTTATTCTATGTTAAAATCAAATCAGGTATTTTAACGATTTTTGGGTTTCGAAACTTTGATAATTGATATTAATTGCTGATTCGTCAATAGTATTCATTATTGAAAAATTCTGCACTTTATGGATACTTTCATTAAAATATAGAGTGTCCAGTGAGCAAAATACGAGGAATAGAGGTTACAAGTTAATACTTAAGCAAATATGAAATTTAATGCAATGTTAATCACTTATAAAGAATATGAAATTAAAAACAAAACAGATGTTTTATTCTATGTTTAAAGTTCGGAGTGTTTCGAATTATAGCCTTTTAAATTTAAACTTTCTTTGGACAAAACAAAACGGTTTAGCTGTTTTTAAGTGCAGATATCTTCCAAAGTGAACTATTGCATATTGATATCATTTATGTTTTTCAAAGCCTAAACAATAATTTACAACCTAAAATAAGCATTTATAAAATTTTTGACGCGAATTACAATGGGTTGTTATTATATGACAATCCTGAATGAAGGAGGTTAATCTCCAAATTACGTTTTAATATTATTTATATTATAGCTTTTATATTTTTTTCTTAAAACATAAAAATTTTGCAAAAGATTTAAAATACCATTTTGCTTCGAAAACTTCGTTCATTAATATAAGGTTCATAAAAATCTTATTGAACAAGACATCAACTTTATTAAAGTTTCGTTTCGTCTAACTAAATATCCTTCCAAAATATTTTTAAACTTAGTTTATTTTGCATTTAAAACATAAAAATGGATAATTAATGCTAAAAATACTCGTATGTTTAATTAAATACTGAAAATTAGTTTAAAAAATTTCCGGATGATACGGGTAATATTTTTTTGAAAAAATAGTGTTATTTTGATCATGTGCTAATATATATATATGTACATATATCTATTTTCTTATAGCTAAATATGGAATGCTAGAAAGTGGAGATTTGTACATTCGTGATACAACGGAGCACGATGGGTCGTATAGCTTTCGTTGCCACACAGAAGACTTTATTACGAAAGAGAAAAAAGTTAGCACAAATTATTCGAAAATAATAGTCACGGGTAAGTGTGATTTCTAACTTATACCCAACTGTGAGAATTCAGCTTTAGGCACTTCAAAAATATTTTTGTATTTCTTTCAGAACCAAGACATAACCAGCCTCCAAGAATTGCCCGAAGGTTAACTCGCGTATCAGTACCAGTGGGACATCGTGCAACCTTGCCATGCATAGCTCAAGGTTATCCTATCCCAACATATCGGTGGCACAGAGCTCAAGCAGATCAAAGACCTCTTCCTGATCACACTATTTCAGTGAGCCAGGAAGGAGGTATATTGATTTTTCATAAAGTCGTGCCCAGTGATACTGGTCATTATGCCTGCCACGTGACTAACGTAATGGGAGAAGACAAAGTGGAATTTGAATTGATAGTAGAAGGTAAATATAGTTTAGTTAAATTTTGCACATACAGTATACTTTTACCTATTCCTATCAAGTGGATTGTTTACACTATTTGAGTGGATTTGTACCTCAAAAAAACGTACCTGATTTGTACCAAATAATGTAATTTTAGATTGCATAAAAACAACATGATTAGAAAGAAGTCATTCTGCGATAATTCTTAAATCTGTACTCTGAGCTTTCTCCACTATGAACAATAATTAAAGTGATACTTTTTTTCGCTTAAGTTTTACCAATGTAGCACTTAATCAAACTCAAAAATTTGCTCTGTTATGTATCTCAACTTGGCAATGATGCTGTAATGCTGAACAATATGATGGTACAAGGAAAATTATTTTCTTACGAAATAATTAACTAATTATAAAAATGACAATCGTCCTTTGGATTAACGGTTCCTTTTGTTTATGCTGTTCAAAATAAATATAGATTAAATCATTTAGAACAGATCTTTTTAATGCTTATGTGCAAATTTTTCAGAGAGTTATTGATAAAAACTGTCGAAATATATTTGCATTTATTTATCCTAAAACAATAAAATTCTTAGTTTAAAATATTGCAGATGTCATGTAAATATTTCTCAACTGAAATCTTTTGATATTTGCAAAATAATGAATGCTTCTATATCCTTATAACATTTCGCTTATATTTATTGGTATTTTGCAGAACCATATCGAGTGGTTATTGCTCCCCCGGAGCTGCGGTTGGAGGTTGGTAAAACCGCAACTTTCAATTGTTCCATATTCGGCAGTCCTCCAGGTATCGTTAGCTGGAGAAAGGATATGTTAAGGTTATTTCCGGGCCCTCGAGTGATATTTCCTAATCCATATCTTCTGCAGCTGAGGCAAATTAGGCGACAAGATGAAGGGATTTATCAGTGCTTCGTTCACAGGGAGCTTTCCTCATCGCAAGCATCTGCAGTACTAACTATTGGAGGTAACTGTTATTGAAATGTAATATATTTATGCATCAAGATATTTAAGATTGAGGTCATAAAATGTTAAAATGTTCTAAAATACAGCTTATACTTTCAACAAAATCTTTTTCAAAAATTATCTTAATATGTTTAAAGTTATTCTACTTATCAAACCAAAAGATTAAATCAACCTGACTTAATTCTGTATTAAAACTACTAAATAAATAAATTAAATATAATAACCTTAATTTAGGAATTAGAAATTGAAAATTAATGACAATAGAAATAAAATCGATTAATTAAAATAAAACCCTATTTTAAATTAGACAGTTGGAGAACAGTCTCTTTAATTAATATAATAAACTTAAACTATGTGAACTCATAGCATAAGATTTCATATTTAGTTAAAACAAAAAATTATCAACTGTATAAGTTATTTGAATTCAATACATTTGATTAAAATGCTAAATTAGAAGCCGAATATAAGTTAGGAAAATTGATCAATAAAAGATGAATATATTTACTTAAAGCTAAAAATTAGTAATTACCTGTTTTAATCAAATTATAAGTAACTTGGTTTACTACTGGTAAATATGATTTCTGTATTTTAACGTCTATTTTATTTTTAACTGTTTCATTACAGTTGGAAATCTGAAAGCTATTTCTGAACACCGCCATTAATATTTAGATAATAAGTAATTAATTACTTTCCAACAAAGCGTGTTCTTATAAATTTAAGTTTAATTTTTTAATGTAGAAAAATATATCAAGATATGTTTTGGTTTTTGAATTACTTTACTAAACCTCAACTTATAAACTTTCATAATACTAAATATAAACTCAAAATTCTTTTAATAAATCTATGCACATTCTTTTCTTAAACACTATTATTAAAAGAATGTAGCGTTATATAAAATTGTTCTTGTTTATGTAAACAGAGTCGCTAAAGTGTTATAAAAATGTAACGAAACGTTTAATATTTGAACTATTAAAGATAAACTAGTCCATTTTGTCGTTATTCACCTCCCTAAAAATCATTTAATAAAAGAGTTAGAAGAAATGTAAGAAAAGAGCTAAATTTGAATATTTCACACTTATATTTAAACTGTAAGCATCTTATAACAAGAAGATTCATTTGTAAGTATTCATGAACTAGAAATCTATTACAAGTGATATATTAATACCATTTGCATATCTGTTTAATTAACTTCTCATTTTGATAAATAACTTAGTTTTGAATAACAACAAAATAATTCTTTAAATAATACCGATATTTCAAAAGTTACAAATTTTATTTGAAATCTTTTCAATTCTTCGGTAATACATTGGCTCTATAACATTAAATGTGATGAATTAGGTTTGTGATAAGTTATAATTTAAGCAAGTGGCACAGAAAACTTTAGATTAATATTTTGTGCAGTTAATTATAAATATTCATCTGAGTAGTTCTTATGTCATTAAAAATCTATTTTTCTTCTTTTTCTTAGTTTTTTTAACCTGTAGAAATTATATTTTTATTAACCATAGTCAGAGCCAAGCAACTCTGACCCCAACAAAATTTTCTTTAACTCTCTCTCAAGACCTGTATTCCGTGCGACATATTTTGTGAAACTCACTGGAAAATGTGCAAACCATATATTATTTGTAGTGAATCAACAATTGATTAATTAACTTGTTTGCAATCATGAAATGTGCTCTCGCCCTCACTGTTCAATTCAATTGAGATCGCGTTTTGTTATTGCCAAACTATTTCGTTACAACCGATTTTTTTACAAATTTCTTTATTGCCATTAGAAGCTTAGTGGTTAAAAGCTTTAGTATTTAGCTATTAAGTGAAGACTTAAGAATGATAGAAACATTACATCAGAGAACATAAATTACTTTGGTCTCATAGCATGATTTAAACCTCGAAATTTGAGGTGGAATGTCTATTTTTTCCAGTACAAAACGCTCAAATGCATTCTCTTGTATGAAAAAAGAACAAAATGGTTAACAGAATAATTTCAAGACATTCAAGCAACTCAATTCTACAATAAAAATTAATGATTTAATATCACGTTTGTTGATTAAAAAAGATTTTACTAGTTATCAAGCAAATCAACTTTCAAAATGTACATTTTAAGAAGTATAATGGAATATTTATTGATTTTTCAACGGATTTTAGATTCAAATAAAATTAGCTTTGAACTTATTTAAGAACAGATTGCTTACTTTGAGCTTATTAAATAAATAATAAGTTCACTTACTACCTGCAGCTGCAGAATATAACAGAAATTATTCTAAACTCATAGTAATATTTCTTCTAATTATCTAGTTCCATAAAATTAAAATATGCAAATATATTTAGGCACGAAATTATTTCTAATAAACCTCTTACTTATTCAAATAGATGTATAAATACATTATTCAATATCAATTACTGAAAGACATTGTTTGAATCTATTGTCTAACTCTAGACTGAAACGATCGATGCTAAAATAAAATCTCTTTTGACTTTCAGATTTGTCTCCAGTCTTAAAATTAACTTTTCCTGAGAAAACCGTTCAACCAGGAAGATACGTTTCTCTTACTTGCATAGCCTCGGGACACCCAGAGCCGCAAATCAAATGGACGCTCGATGGTATATGGTCCTTGTCTACAAGACACGGTGTCCTAATCAGCTCTTATCAGACCTCTAATGGGGACGTTGTCAGCTCCGTCAATTTTACATCGGTAGATGTTGCAGACAGCGGTGTGTATTCCTGTGAGGCCAGTAATGACGCTGGAACAGAAAGTTATTCGAAGAGACTTAACGTGTTTGGGCAAGTTTTCGTAAGATCTATTAATAATTTGACAGCTATCTCGGGAGAATCGTTTTATGGCATGTGTCCTTTTGGAGGTTATCCATATGAATCAATAAGCTGGAAAAAAGGTAAGAGTTATATAGTTTTATTTTAATTTATATCATATTTAATTCTGTTGAAGTTCTAAATTGGTATATATATTCTCTAAAACTCACTTACTTAGCCTAATTTTTCTAGTATAAAGTTTCAAGAGTAAATTAAAGCTGCCTTTTGAAGGCTCTGTAACCAAATGCAATAATTTTACTTAGCTAATAATACGGCATTTTTACATCGAGTTAGTAACATTTACTTATGGCTGTTAGGTTAAACTTCGTCTAAAGGCAGATCTCACTTTGGTAATTATAAAAATTGTCCAAATTGACAAATTAAAGAAAAACCGGGTAATAATAATAATAATAAAATAATTCCCCGAACCTCCATTGTTTGACTCACAAACATTTGCAAACAAATTGCAGACTGTATTTCTTAGCTTTTTAGTTAAGATATCTCGCAGAGCTAGTAAAGTTTCTATAAATACGAATAAAATTCTAACTACTAAAGTTGCTTGCCCAATTTGAAATGCAAATAATTCTTCTCTTCAAGATATAAAAGTATGGACTTTCTTTTCATTTAAAGCACTTAAACCTACTTATTTTTATTATTATTTAGTGATTTTCTTACATTTAAGGTAGAAGAGGCTAATTATAAACCTAATAATAATAATTACATACAATTACATATAATTATAATTATTATATTAATTTTATTATTTATCAACTAATATTTAAGAGAGAAATATTTAAGAGCATGTCGTTGTGTGACTATTATCCAGACAAAATCTTTTAAGTTTAAATTACTAAATTGTATGGAATACCCCTTAAATCATTTTTATTAACAGCAAATAAGTCATTATTAATTTCTACAGTCCATTTAATACCCTTCAATTAGAAAAATAAACTGTCTCGGTAATATAATAAATATTTATTTTCCTAAATCCAATCATTCATAATTTCTAATTATAACCTAAGAAGTCATATCGATGATTTAAATGGTGTGTTCACTATCATTCAAATAAATATTATAAAAATTAATAATGTAAATAACTCATTAAAATTGAAATTTGCCTATATTAAGTACAATTTTCTTATTGTAAAACACATAAATAGAAAGCAGTATTAATTCCAATACCTCATTTAATCCTATGCTCTTAGGAAATTAAAGTACATATCCCAAAACTAGTCAAGATAGATATATAAGCATCCTTTTCCTGGCCGATCTAGTAACACCCAATTAAAGGTTAAATTTCCCTGGGAATATATTTTCCTGACAATTCTAGCGCAATAAGACCACTGAACGTGTAATTATTCTTAGATTCAAAGCATATCTTTCTCTATCTATCGACGAGCATCCGTTGATTAAGGAATGAAAGTGAATTGTTTGGCTCATTTTTAATGCTACTCTAAGAGCATTATTTTAATTGCGTTTTATGTAATCAGCCAAATAGGTTTTGAGTTGAAGTTAGGTAGAAATCTATGAGAGAAGTTATGAAACTAATTACTTTTGTATTAGAAATATTTCATTTAATAAATGAAATGAAATCGAGCTTAAGCATTATAAATAATGAAACATGATAAATATGATTCCCTTCCTTAAAAAAATAGTCACACTAAATCATAAAATATTCACATTTCACTAAAAAAAAGTAATTTTTTATTTTACTTTTTTTCATCAACAAAACACACAATACGGAATAAAAATCTCATTTTGCAGTGGCAATAGATTAAGAAAAAGAAAAGCTTTTCAACAAAAAAAAACTTTGAGACATAAATTTAAAAAAAAAAAACTTTAAATGGCGTATAAACAAAGCAAAATTTAAATCTTTAGCACATCTGTAAGCAGTGTGGGAAAAAAAAGAAATTCACGTATTTACACTCACAAGACAAGAAAACATTTATTTTTTTCCATTCTGTATTTTGTGATGATCCACAAAATAAATTAATCACTTTCAAAATATCATCTTGTTTTGACCTTTGTAGAACAAATATTGAACAAGACTAATCTCCACTATTTTTGATTGATGGAACACTAAATGTACTATGATAAGCAGTAATCGAAGCATCATGAGGATAATGTTTAGTTATTTTAAAATAAAGAAAATTTAAAAAAAGAAAAAACTCTGTTGATGCAATGTTTATAATTAAGAGTTTTTTTTTCCAGTCTCACAAGGTTCGTAAGTGAAACTTTTACACACGCGCTTTTTATTTTTATTAAATGTTATTAACTCTCTTAGAAAAAAAATCCAGACAAGTATGAAATTTTCAGAAAAGTAGACCTGAGTATAGCAGAAAAGAATCGATTCATAGACATATGTTAACTTGATTCAACTTTTTATACATTTGTTTTAACTTAAATCTTAGGGGAAATGTAAATGTATACAGCTATTTTAAAACTAATGGGGAAGGACATTCAAATTCTTTCTTTAAAGAAATAATAAAATAGATTTATTTAAATATTGTTCTATAATTTTGACTAGGGATATATTTACTTATAAAATCTTTTTCTTCTGACACTGAGCGTTAGAGAATAGAATAATAGTATAGGTAAGAAAAAGTTTTTAACAAAGATATTTACGTAAATAATATATTTTTCAGCTTATTTTTATACTCATGTTGACTGTCCCTTGGAGCCCTTCTTTTACGAGAGATTATACTTTAATGTAATTATTGTAAATATTCGTAACTTTTTTTTTTGATTCATGTATTTAATTTTAAGTGCTTGCAAAAATGCTGCCTACTAGAGTTCCAAAAGACTATTTAAACCGGAGTGAGACAAGTCACTAAAAATGCTCCTGTAACTTTAGAAAAACAAGTCTTGAAATGGTTCTCATGCGATTAAAGTTGCAACTAGGTGTAAAGAAAGATTCTCAGTAATTTTAGTCTCAGTAAAATATAGGTGTGACTATTAATTGAATTTACAAAACATATAGCAATTTTTTTAAAGCGTGAATAAATTTGTTCGTATATCCGCTAGATTTACACCATCCCCACTACTTAATGTTCAAAATATTGAATCAAAATTTTTTTTTCGAAAGCTCCAGATTGTAGTGTGCAAAAACAACTTTCAAATTAAGCTTTTTTTTAAAAAAATCGTTAGTTAGATGGCTTAGATGCGATTTATATTATTGTAAAAATAAAATTTACAACATTTTAAAAATCTATAAAAAAGGAAAGGAAAGGCCTTATCATAGATTGTTGTTTGCTGAAATATTCGAATCAGAATTGAAGATAGCCTCTATTGAAAGTTAACTTTTCAAATGTTCAGTAAATTAAAGACCTGTATTTTTTGTTTATACTTAACAGAACGAAAAATAAATTATGTAAATAAACTTATTTTAATAAAAAGTAAAACAAACAGAAATTATGCATTGAAAGGTTGTTATTTACATGTGTTTCATAAAAGAACGTAATCTCTTAGGTTATGAAGAAAATCATTTCTATTTCTGAAATTCATTTATCTAAATTTTAATGTAACTTTCTATTTACTTTCATTATAGTCAATTTCAAAAATACAAACACGTAAATCACAAACCTTAAACTCTAACACAAAAGGTAGTAAATTTCAACACATTTTGTATTTATACAATGACAAATACTAAGCAATTTTTTATATTTTTTGCAAACATGGTCAACATTTATAGATTCCTATAAAGTAATTTTTGTGTCCCGCTACGGTTTATATAGAAATATTTCTTTTAGTAAATTAATATATTTGTTTTGCAAGAAAGTAAAAAAATCGGGGAAGTTTAACTTTAAATATTACTTTAAATTGTAGATTCTTTGCCATATTAAAATTTTAGGGAAAAATTATAAGGGAAAGATAACTGTTAATAAAGAGCTCGTGGTGTTTCTTCGCCCCTTTATATGTATTACTAGAGGTTTTCTGATATATTGTAATCAATTTTAAGACAATTTACCATATAAGACGAAATGGAATGGACGCTACTGATTTATTTTGCTAAGGTCATTTCTCGTTGATTGAATCTTGACATTGACTGCTGCAGACTAAAGCTCATTTTTTCTGTGGTAATTATTTACGTAACGATTCAAATTAGTCAAAAAAAATTTAAAAAAAAACATTGAATAATTTTACTAGTTACAAAAATCGCTCTAAATCGTCACTAAAATTTATTTTACATTAATAATTTAATAGCTTGTTAAATTAAAATTAACTGCGTCACAAAAATTTAACTAAATACTACTTTATAACGCCATACTATTACACAAAGTTGCACACATTCGAAAATCATTTTCTAAAGTGTGTATAATAATATATTCAACAATACTGATGAGCATAGTTGTCATGGCGTAATTTTAGTAAATTGTTTCAGTATCTTTACTAAATCAATTCCACCTATATCATATGGGCGATAATGGAGCTGGAGTGGTTGAATAACGCCCAGCCCCTTTTGTGAGATATGCAATTTAGATATCTATTCAATTATTTCGTGAATAATTATCCCAATCAGTGCATCTGCTTGGTAACGGACGTGATGATATTACTTAATCGGGATGGGAAAATTCTGATTCCCAGAGCCATTGGAATTTCAATTTTCAATTACTGATTGGGATATTAAGCAAATGAAATCCGTAATGAGATCAAAATACATGCATGGGAAAAATCTGTGTTCAATAAAATCAGTTTAACTTCTGTTATAAAATATTCAAATTATTTGAAGTTTAACTGTAATGTTCCGATAATATTTTCGAGGAGTTCAATTTAACTTTACTGTATTACTTCTTCTAAAACAATCTATATTTCCGATTAAAAGATAATATCTCCGACATATTTAATTTAGTTTCAGTTTCATATTGTTATTTTTCCCTGAGTAAGTTCTAAATCTATTGATCCACTGCAATTAAATTTTTTTCTTTATATTTGGCTGATAAGTTATATCAAATATATATATATAGGGGAGAGTCGGGTACCCCCACCCACTGTCAATTTCATATGTATAGAATATTTTTTCAAGTCAATGGGCCATCGGACATTAATTGTTATATTAAAAAAAGATTATTTTCAAAGTTTCAAGTATTTATGCAGCTGGTAATATGATAAACAATAGTTTTGAAAATATGTTGAATACAATAGTCATGAATTTGAGAAAAATGTTTTGAATGTTTCGATTAATCTTCATTTTAATACTAAAAAAATAATATTTTCTACACATACAGCATTAAAGTATGTAGTCATAAGATTAATTTGCACAGAGAAAGAATTTTATATGTGAAGAATTGTTCGAGTAATTACAAATTTACAAAAAAAATTGGATTTCGGGTAGTCCCGCTCACATGAATGTCGGGTATCACCGCCCAATTTTATTTCGTCGATAAATGTACGGTTGCAAAGTTTATTATTTAATTGCTTCAAATTTGAGTGTTATATGCATTTTTAACAACAAATATATGTATGACATTAAATATAACGTTGTTATTGAATGATAGTATTCGCTAAAAGTATATAAATATGTAATAAATAAAATAATTTTGTGACAAAAATGATAAATGAGGTTTATCTATCGTTAATACATTGGTCATTTTCCTTTACACCTGAAAAAACAGTCAAAAACATAATTTTTGTAACTGGGTGGGGCTACCCGACACATTTTGAAAAGAGCTTAAAAACATGCTTTCTTAAATTTCTAATTTTTTAAGTTAAACTATTATTTTTTTGGCTTACTCTTTATGCATTATTTAATTAGATGATAAAACATTAGAAACATGCAAAAATATTGATTATTACTCTATATTATACAGAAATATAAGCAATACTCCATAAGTGGGTGGGACTACGCGACTCTCCCCTATATATATATCTATCTATATATATATATTATATATCGTTAGTTAGATGGCTTAG